AGCCATTATTTCATCTTCTTTTTAGATTACGGTCTAGCTTATTAAGTGTAATTGGACTTCAGCTATACTTGCATAACTCGTTATGCCAATATAAATACCTCTGCTGCAGGTGAAACTGAGCTCTTTGTGATGTCAAGAAGCATAAAGTTTAGCAAGCTGTCAGTGTTTTGAATCTGTTCGGATGTTCTTGTGTTCACAGAAAGGCAGCTCTTCAACAGAGAACAGAATTCACAGATGTAAAAAAAAAAGTCAGTAACCAGAATATGACTTTCCTGTCTTTAATATTGCAAACTTGAGAATCTGAAACTTAGAATATGGTAGGTTTGCAAAGGTCTGAACTGAATGGTATTGCTGGTGAGGAACAGAACAAATGACATAGAGCTTTTATCATTAGAACTAGTATCATCATCAATAATAACAGTAGTAAAGGAACATCCATATTGTGCCCTGTATTCAGGAGTGCTATGATGTACCTAATGGAATATCATTTGGTTGCTTTTGCAGCTTCTGTGGAGGACATAGGATAGTTACTAAGAAAAATGCTACTACATTTCTCAGTGGCTGAGCATTTCCACTATCTGACATGAAATCTTGTTCTCTTTTACTGATGTCATAGTAGCAATTCTGAGTGTGGCTGAGTGCACCAAATTCTTATGCCTCACAGCACAATTAGGATCTGGTCAAATTGCAACAGTCTTGAACTCTCATTTGGCTGGGATCACAGATTGGTTTGGGAATAGCCAGAATGAGAAGTTGAGAGAACGTGCAAGTTTAAAGCTTCTGAAATAGGCTGAAGTTGAATGGTTGTGATTAAATAAATAAATACATTTAAAAAACACACAAAAAAACACACCTTCTTTGCTAAAATGAAAATTAAGTAAATGGACTTAAGGAAGATATCATTTTGATGGAAATGATTTTCCAAAATCAGTGTCATAACTGAAATATATAAAGTATTGCACATAGCTACATGTTTCTCTAAGAAACCAAATACAATTTTTGTGAAGTAGCATTTTGCTTGAATCAGTTATTCCATTTTGAGGTCAGGCTGCTTTTATATTATCATCACCTTTAAAACATGATGTGATATACAGATAATCATAAATTGCTTTGTGTAACATGAGAAATAAAAATGTAATGGATTCCCATTGAGTTATAAATGGCTGTGGTAAGAAGACCTTCTTAATTTTGTGGCTTTGCCACACATGAATTATGGGCTGATCTCTCAGTAGCAGGATGCATATAAATATTTGTAATGATTGTGCATTCATTTATGCATTCTCTATTATGCTTGTAATGTGTCTAAGGGTAAAAAATACAGCCATGAAAAGGACAGCAGAGTTCAGCAGAAAAATGTCAGACGTTTGTGCTGCAGTAGTTTGTGTTGGTAGAAGCCTTTCCTTCCACACCATCTTGCCTCCTGACTGGGGACTGCCTGCTGCTCCCAGCCAGAGGGATGGGCACGAGGATTCTCTGACTTGTCACTGCTTTGAGAAATTACCTGCTGTAATTCAAGCAAAGCAATGTCTCTGTAGCTGTCAGCATGAACAAAGGCCACCAAAATGTACAAGGTGGGAGTTTCTCCACCGAATAATTTGGATACATCCCATTGCTACCTTTATTACCTCAATCAGGGAAAAAGTGCTTGCTACTACTGCATTCCTACAGTTGGTATGGCCATACCATGATGCTGCCATACAGACTATGACTGTTTCTTAAAATATGGAGGATTTGTCTTTTCTTTGCATATATCATTATCTATTAAAAATGCCACAACCCAAGCCATGGCAGGAAATGCTATTGCGTCACAGATGTTAGTATTCATGAAGTTGTTCTGGGTTTGCTCATTATGGCTGCAAACACCATTTCTCTGTTGCTGTTTTGTGGATCACGAGAGGTCTTTGCATCTACTCTGACCCAGTGTAACCTCTCTCACATGCCTAGATGGTTTCTGAGTCCAGCACAACATCTGTGCACAGGAACATGGTGATTTCAGTTCAGTTCCTGTTCTCATCTCCTGGGCTTCCCATTATAGATTTGTGGATGGCTCCAGCCATGTTGGTGATGCTGAGAGATTTTGGTGAGAGGACAGTGCAGGCTGTATTCTATTTCGAGCCCATTAAAGATTTGTTCCAATAAGAAAATCTGGTGTTAGCCTCTTTCTAAATAGAAGAAAACTGAATTTTCTTATTGTGCCATACATGTGCCAGAAAACAAAATGGTGTGCAATGGATGCTGCTGGTTTGAGAACCTAAAAAGCCTGGGACAACAAAGTGCTGCCCTTGCTCAAAAGAGGAGGCTGCTGTTTTGTTCTGTGTTTTGTTAGATCTTCACTGCCTGAGGATTTATTTTAATGCAGTTACCTGTGGAGTCATTTAACAGCACTGGCAAATCCCCTCAGAAGGATTCTGCAAGTGCTACACTTAATTATTTCAAGGAATGAAAGTGAGCTTTAATACGATGTCCTGCATTGACCTTCTCTGTTGTGAATAAGATGGTGCAAAGTATAATTTTCACTTGTCAGGCACTGCATTAGACAAACAGATAAATGAATATTTCTACAAGTTATACTATATAGGCATATTACAGCAGGCTGCTGTTTTAATAATCTGGATAATGTTTGTTCCTTACTTCTGTGCGTATTACAGTTGTTTGGATTATATAAGCTGTACATTCGTTCCAGCTTCTATTGACAGTTAAATTATTATCCAGATTTGATGGAATGGATAACATTGTGCTCTGATTTGGTCTTCTCTATGTGAATTGTATCTTACAGAAATACACTGCTGTTAGTCAGCCTCTCCAAGGAAGTATTTTGTTTTACATCATAGTTCAAATATAATATTGATTTTAGACAGATATATAAAGGTAAAACATAAACCACAAAAAGCCCCCAATTCTATAAGCCTGCAAGTAGTTCTCCAAAAACAGCTCCATCCCAACAGCTTCTCTGTTTGAATTTTCAGCAAATTCTACTGGCTTCTGCATCCTCTGATGTTTCTCTGCCTCACTAGAGTTGGATGGGCTGTTTGAGTATGTGCTAACCAAAGCAGACATTTGTTTCTTTCTGATGTGAGTATGGGCTCATTAAGTAGCTCAGCTGTGTGAGCCCTAAGGCCAAATACTCAGGAACCTGGAGAGCAGTGGGTTCCTTGAAGTGACAAGTTTCACTGCGAGCCTTAACTCATTTAGCAATCTTACTTCATAGAAACATAAAATGGTTTAGGTTAGGAGGGGCCTTAAAGACCATCTTGTTCCATTTCATTACTTAGACCTTCTTAAATGGTGCAGGAATGCTTTAATGCTTTGTCTTTTTTTCCTGGAAAGATTGCTGTTTAAATAACACCCAAGCTGGAAGGCAGGCTTTGGACAGCTGCCCCCTGTAACTGTGGCTGGGCTCTGCAGGCACAGAGGTGCACAGCTGGCTTCTGCACAGCTTTCTGTGTGCCTCACACGGCCCTGCACGGGGAGCCTGGCTGTGCAAGGCCAGAGGGGAGCACAGGGACTATGCCACAGCATGAGAATAAAAGCTAGAAGCTGCGGGTAAAACTGGCTGGAAATATGATCATTAGTAACTCATACAGTTAATAAACTGTACAGATAGGCAGCCAGCCAGCCATCTGTCTAACTGCATGTACAAAATCCTCCCTGAAGTATATGTTGTGATACTCTCAAAATCTGTATCATTAAGGATGCTGCAGTATTTGTAAAGCCATTCTATTGCATATTCAACGCCTTCTAACTTAAGACCAATCAACTCTGTGTCTACTATAATGAGAGATCATTTTGTGGCCGTGAAATTGAACCAAACCTGCTGTTATATTAAACTGATCAGAATCACGTTTCTGTATAATGTCAGTGGTGTAAGGCAGTGTGACTGCTTGCAGTCTCAAACATACTTCACAGATGAGGAACTGATCCTTCTGAAGTTGGCTTTTGATGAGATTTTAAAGCAGGCTGAGGAATCAGGCGTTGGAACTGTTTTCCTCTTCAAGCGATCCTTTATAGATCGCTTCCTCAACCTCAGGAAAGCATTGGTGGCTCCTAATAATGGTCACTTAAACTGTGATGAGTGAATGTAGGCAGGTGCTAATTTTGTATGAGCACAGTTGATGGTGTCTAAGTAATGAATTTAAGTGCTTGGAAATCTAACACACTAGATCAATTGGAGTCTGAATTTCAGAGACAGCTCTATTGTGGAATGTGGTTGTTTGTTGTTGCTTTCATTTTTTTTGAACTCACTGACATTCTCCTGGTAGCTTAAAAAAATCTCGTCAAGTTAAAAGTTGAGAAGTAAAACTGACAATGCAGGAAGCCTGATTTCACTGTGCTGTAGTCTTTGTTGATTTAAATGCTGAGAGTTTGCTGCCTACTTTGCATTTCTGAGTTGAAAGATTCACTTTCTTTTCCTACCAATCTCCTTGAAAGTTCATTCTTTCTGTTCCTAACTTTAAAACTTTCTAATTCCCTTATTTTGCACCTCAAAAATTAAATATGGCTCTCAGCTGATCAGAATACTGAGAGACAAATTAGACATAATTTTTGTAATAAATTGGACTTCTGCTTTGGAAGTTTTTGGACAAATTGCCTGCTGTAATTTCATGGCTAGCTGCTCTAAGTGTCTGAGAAGGAAGGTGAAATTTCCATTTAGCTGATCAGATCACTAGTTCAAACTATTCTTTCATCACTTTTCATAGTAGCCTTGTAATATCTCAGATTGCACATGCTACAAGTAGGCTTTCAAGCAAAAATATATTTGTGTGGAAGCCTTCTTGTTGGACTTGAAATACAGAGGTCTGCTGTGGTTCAGTGTAGTGGAAATGCCAAGTCACAGCTTGAATCAGTGATTGAGCATCTGGTGGGAAGGCAGGGCCAACCAGGGGAGCTCCGTGCATGCAGTGCACCTGAGTGACCAGAAGAGGTGGAGCCAGGATGCAGCCCTTCCCAGCCCTCATTTAAGGGTTGGCCATGGAGGTGAGGGCTTCTTGCTGGAGATTCCTGCCTATGTGAGGCCTTCTGAAAGTAAGCAGATTTTTTTTTTTTCCCCTCTGTTTCTGTGCCTACAGCTGTTGTGTTTGAGCAAACCCTCATTTTATGTTGTTTAGGACCTTGCTACTTTGCTGTTATTGCTGCACTTTCTGTTGCATTACAGCGTTACGTTTAGAGATTTGTTTTTTGATTCTTAGAAGTTCTCATCTGGTTTACCTGAAGTCTTTTTTCTTCCTAAATGAATGTTGTCTCTTTAAAAATCAATTTCTGGCCTATATACCAGAACTGGGGATATCATTTGGGCATGTGTAACGTATCAGTAGCAAATCTTACTGTGTGATGGAGATGCTGATGCTCAGACTGATATGCAATGATACTTCTTTATGTAATTCACTAGTGTAGTGGCTGATACTGAAGTGATGGCACACAATGCACTGAACTCCTTGTGAACGGTTGTGCTGTAACCATTGTGGCATGGTGTCAAAAGCACTTAGTCATTGCTGCTGTTTGTTTCATTTACATCACAATTATAAGAGTCACAATGTAATTAAGAATATTTGGCATTGGCAGTTTGTTATGGTTTCTTTTAGCCCCTTAAGCATGTAAGAATAATATTCTAATTGCGGATAAAATACCTGGAGTCATCTTACTTCCCTACTATAAGGTAAATCTTTGTGTTATTCTGAATAACCTTGAAACAAAAATATGGCAATTTAATAGGACTATACTTAGTGTTCTTATTAGGATCTTGTGTTCTTTCCTTCCTGGGTGGTGTCATAAACTTAGAAGCTCCTCTGTGGGTTTTTTTTTTTTTTTTTTTAATTTAATATGAACTGCTTTATTTTGAAAGAGAGAAGCATCAACCAATTTTCTCAAATTTGCTTCAAGCCTTTTTCCAGTTAGAAAAGTGAATGGGGGTAAGGGCTCAATCTGTGTGCTGAAGTGAAAGTCATTTGTACCTCAAAGCTGTGCAACAGAAGTAACGGAGCTTCCATCAGTAACATGGAGTAATGGACCTACTGAAAATCATCTGAGCTGGACAAGCAGGAGGAGTGGCCTTGTTTTCCTAAGTTGCTCACTGGGAGAGGCTTAGGCTGTGATTGATGAGATGCCTGAGAAACACCACCAGTGTCAGTCAAGTGGCATTTTGTTACTGCTGCAAGCGATGGCTAAGGCAGCTCAGGGCTGTACCCATGAAGGCTAGTACTTGGAAGCATGCTTTCTTCCTGCATAATTCAGCTGTGCTTTTATTTCAGTACTTTGAAAAAATAAGCTTTCTGCTTCATCCAGTCAGTGCTCACGTTAGTAGGAACAGCATAAAACAGCAGGAGTGAAAGGAGAGACCAGACATCTGGCATTCCCTGGAAAAAGGAAACGTTAAGCTGCCCTCTTAATTTTGCCTAGCTGTGAGTCCCTTAAAAAAGAGTCCAGAATGTGACAGAATGAAGTAAAGTAACAGCCTAGACCTGATTAGCTCATCTGCAGAGGGAATTTAATTACACTCTTGTTTTGCTTATGTAATTTCCTTCTTCCTCTTCTCCTGTCAGGTTCTGTTCTCATCAAGGGATGTCAGACAAGGCGAAGATGTGAATAGGATGCAACTGAAAGCTTTTGAACCCTTGGGATTTAGGTAGGGAATGCAGAATCTGATCCAAAGCCTCCTTGTCTTCTTCTACCAGGTTTCTCTCAACCTCAAGAGAAGGGAGGGCAGAGAGACCTGCAGGCACGGAAGGCTCAGCCAGGAATGGGGCAGTGGGGTAGGCCTGACCCTGGTGCCCTGCAAGAAGGGCATCTCCTGTCCCTGGGGCTCTAATAGAAAAGTAAGCTTGGGGTGCAGGTTATTTTTGCCTATATTTACTAATTCCCTGCATAGGAAAAGAGAAATCCTGTTTCCGTGATCACTGTGATTGGAAAAAGTGGCCAAGTTTACTACAGAGCTATCCATTCTGGCCTCGGCTAACAGCTGCTCACACTCTGGGGGAAAAATAGATCATCTGAAGCTGCCCTCATCTTGGGTTGCAAGTTACCAGCGGATTGAGCAAGCTGAATTAACAGTGTAATGTAATAACTGTTCTAATTAGCTTTCTTATTATGCTTAAATAGTTTTTCACCATTCCAAAAATAATGAAGATTTCTATATTCATGCAATGCATGTGATGTATTCTTTGGAAATGTGTTCTACCACTTGTTTATCCTGAAACTCTCTAATATTTTCCTTCCCTTTCCAAAAAAGCCCAATTCTCTAGGTGAGCTGTGTACAAGCGTAACCTTTGTTCCTCACCTGCCAAACCCAAATCACTGCCAGGTAGCCCTGATTTCCCTACTGCAGGTACTCTGCTCACCAGCAAAACTTGATACAGAGCCTCTGACCGTTCAATAACTGTCTTTACTCCTCACATCATCCACACCAATATCCTGTCTCTTCAACCAGATCTGTCTTTATTTTCCTGTCTTTCTGACTTTTCATTGATGCTGCTTTTTGTCAAGAGAATGCTTGTTTCCTTGGTATATTGCTTCCTCATCAATTGTTCTGTGTTTCTTTTTGTACTGCTGTAGCCCAAACTGCTTGTTTGACTTTTCGTCCCTTTTCTGATTTGTCTCTTTTCCTCTAGCCAGTCTCAGTTACCTCTACCTGTTGCTCTTCCCTCCTGTCCCTGATTATTTGATGCTTATTTTCACTAATTCTAAGCTTTGTTATCTTTCATGCTTCCTAGGACTATCTAGAATAAAGAGACAAAAAAAAAAAAAATAAAGGCACGAAGGAAAAGCTCTTTCCTTGAAGTGTTTTAGCTAAACCACGTAGAAGGAAATATATTCAGTGGTTGGGAACTTTACCTATGAAGTTAAGTGAAAAACAGGCAGGTTATCATGAAAACTAAAGCTTTTTATTGTGTTTTATTTCCTTGCTCTACAGCACAGGGACACTTCTGCTCTTAAGGAAGAAAAGCTTGTAAAAATTTACAGTTAACCTTGGCAACAGTAGGTTGTTCTTCCTCAGGGGCCCTTCTCAGAAATGGTGGAAATGTTGTGGATGAAATGCTCACAGAAAATTCAGCCCTTTGGCAAATGCCCCAGATAGTTAGGAAGTGACAAATTACCAACTGAGGCTGGGGTTCTACAGCCCCAGCAATAATTGCTGCTTCTGGCTTTGCCTGAAGGACTTTACACAGAGTTAGGATTTGCTTGTGCTCCCATCCGTGCTGTGGTTTAGCTGAGCTGCTTTGCTTTATTTGTGCTTCAGGTCTGCCAGCTAGATATGTTTTTGTATACTGTCTGGGTGCTATTGTTCTTTTGCAGTGTATTTAAATTTGGTAACACCAGGAATCATAAAGGAAAACTGTTGATAGATTTGTTAATCGTTGGTACATAATGGTATCTTCAGTAGAACAGCACCCAGCCAAGCTGTTATGTGCTGCCAGTTGGCACTATGGAGATACCTTAAAGTGAGGACAGAAACTGCAGCGTCTGCTGTATCACATACATTTTCACTGTACAGTGTACATAACAGCAATATCCAGCAAGAAGAGGCTCTCCGCTGTGTTTGAAGGGCAAACAAAGGGGAAGGAGCCTTGATTAGTGAGCCTTGTTTGTATTACATAGGGATCAAAGGAGATAAAACACAGTCTATTGCAGTGTTTGTAAAATTAAGATTCCAATTACAGAAGGTGGTGGTGCATCTGTGCCTTCCTGACAGCTGTGAGGAGAATGAAGACAGCAGTGCTCATTGCATTATGTTATTAATAATTAATTCTTCCTTGGAAATTGGTAAGCTGAGGTGCTACACATACTTGTACAGAAGACTGGTTTTGGATGAGGCAAAACTTTTTGACTGTGCTCCTTTCCTGTTTGTTTTAACTTTCAGATGAACTTGAGTATTCGGCAGCTCAAGGTACATGCAGGGAGCTCTTGCATGATTCTGGGAAATGAGCTGCATCTTGGGGGTAAAGTGTTTCCTTCACACAAACGAGTTGGTGGTTTGGGCAGTGAGCCCTCCTGTGCTGGGTGCCCCACACCTGCAGCTGGATCTGCCCTTGCTGGTGTGGAGCTGGCTGCCTTCTGATGGCTCCCCTTATGCTGGTGGCTTCTGCAAAAGACAACGTGCCCTAGCAATGAATTACATGCATGGCTGAAAGTGTAACAGAGATTTGGATGGATGCTGTGTACTGTATGAAGAACAGCTTTTTAATTTTACTACATGGTGCTAGGCCAGCCCAGCAGAACTTGCTTGTCTTTGAGAGATGCTTTTATTAGTTGGCTGTGATATGTTGGCAAATTAGGCTGCACCAAATGTGCTTTCAGCCTCCTGCTGTGAGGATGCTTCACAGATTCTTATGCATACCTTAGAGGTGTTTGCACATTATATGGTATTTGCAGTCTATTTGTCCTAGCTTTGATCATGTCCTTGCTGACTGCATTCTAGTTGCTTGCCCTTCCCTCTGTCTGCATCCATCCTTTTTATAGTATTTTATAACAACTCTGGGATGAGTTGTCTTGCAGTTCTCTAATTAGTATTCCTCTCTTGCAGTCCTAAGGCAAATCTTAGGTCTGCTGTAGCAGCTGATGGTGTGGCTCACCATACTGTTGGGGTGCGTGTGTGTGCACAAGCAGTATGTGGTGCACAGTGCGCAGCGCTTGTTGAGTCTGGCGCTTTATAAAGGTGTAGAAGTAGTACATTAATACAATAAAAGGGGTAACTGGATGATTTGTTTTGGTGCCTTAGGTTTCAATCATACAAATGGAATTTGTTTATTCTCTGCAGCGAGATGGAGAATTAGACTTGATAAACTGTGAACACAGATTTTTTTTTTTTTTTAATTTTGGGGTGGAAAAAGAGTCCAAATGCTATGCTAGGCCTCTTGCCCCTAACAGGTAAGCAATTTGCTCCTGATGGCTGGTGCTTGGGGCAGGTGTGAGTGCCTGCAGCTCATCATGGTCCCCTGTGAACTGCCAGAGGATCTGGAGCCTGGATCTGGTGGTGCTAGCACTGAATGGCTGTGAGTGCCTGCCAGGGATTTACAATGAGTGTAGCAGATAGCTTTCCTCAAGCTGTGCTAGGAGACTGTGTATGTTTAGACACATGCTGGATAACAGCGCACCATTCCATGTGTGCTTCCAAGATCTGTAAAATATCCCTCAGCTTTCATTTCTTTTTCCGGAGAAGCTACCAGATGCTCTGTTATTGTTTTGCAAAACAAGCTGCATATTACCCATATGTTTTCCCCCTTGTTTTCCAGGAGGCAAACTAACCATTGGTACCCATTTAAAATATTCATTAAATATTTTAGATAGGTTGGAAGCGCAGAGAACAGGCTTCTTGTGGTGCAGAGCATGAGCAGCCAGGCTGCTGGCACAGGCTGGGACAGAGAAGCAGCTCCTGGCTGACACAGCGCAACCATCTTCATACAGCTGTGGGAAAGGATATCTGGGGATGGTAGCCAGACCTCCTGGGGAGGGGTAGTGATCTTTAATTGCTTTCTTTGAGGAGAAGGAGAGAGCCTTCCCAAGACTTGGGGAAGAAACCCCTCCATAGAGGAAGTCAGTTAAAGGGAGAAAGAGAGGCTACTTTCTGGGACTGTGGGAGCAGGCAGCAGCTGAAGTGCATGAGACTTAATTACAGGTCTGTGGTTTGTGTTCTGCCCCTTGACAGAACCTCCTTCATGAGCCTGTAACTGTATGTGCATCCTGTAAAAATACAACTCCTGGAAAAAATGCTCTCTTGTCACTGATGTGGCTATTCAGTATAGCCCTAAACTCGCCTGAAATAGAACACGTGACTGGGAGACACTTAGTTGGAAATTCAGTGCATATTGCAAAAGAAATCCTGCTGAGAGCCGGGGGATGGATCCCTGCGAGCAGCGCCTTGCTTGGAGCGCTCCCTGTGGCGCTTGTGCAGCAAGGTGTTATGAACTTGCAGGTCTCAATGGAACTTGTAGGTATCTGTTTTGCTTTGAAGCAGTACTTTATTCCTAAAAATTCAGCAGAGTTTCTGGTAGGTAGCATAAGGAACATCCAAATAATCCATCATCCAACATATTTTCCCCTTCATATTCCTTACTAATATCTATACTATTTCAGCTTGATTTTGTAAACGATTTTTGTTAAACTACTTTGGGCAAAGAGTGCTCTACTATTTTTTTTTTTTTTGTGAGTCTTTTTGCACCTTTTCATCTCCTGCAATATTATACTAAAAAGTTTGCTCTGCTACTAACAGATGTGCTGCTTATTACAGAAAAGCTTCCATATTGATATAACCTCAGTAATTTATCTGTCAGGAGGTTGGCACTTCAGTGGATGGCAAGTGCTGGAGATTATTGATGCAATTTCTGATGCAGTTCTCATCAGATTGGTAATATCAATAGCGTTGGAGCTAAATTTTGGCTTCTTCGAGATCAGTGTGTTTTAAATACATATTTAGATGTATTCTTATTACCATGTACTGCCTCGTAAATGGAAGCTCAGTCAGTATAAAGTCACTTTGCCCTGCTTGCACCTGCCCTCTACCCTGCTGGAAGGTGTGCTGCAATGCCTTGTGCTATGTCTCTGTGGAAATCAATGGCTTCTTTTGGCAGCTAATGCTGCAGTTAGCTGCGTGCATCTGTGGCCTCCCTCTAGTATCAGCCATGGTAATAC